AACAGACAAGCGTCTGGCAAAATTAATGATAAAAAGAATGGCTTTGAAGTGCCACACCCTGCACCCATCTAAAACAGCAAACTTAATCCATAAATGCGTGTGTCTGCTCCACCAACTGGCCGTTTCCCCCTCTCTCTCTGGCCTCCCTACTCCCTGAGACACAACAACATTGAATTGAGGCCAACTGATAACCCCCACAATGGCTTCAGAGTGTTCAAGTGAAAGGAAGAGTTGCATGTCTCTCACTGTAGATCAAAAGCTAGCAACAATTAAGCTGAATGAGGAAGGCATGTTGAAAGCTGAGACAGGCCAAAAGCTAGGCCTCTTGTGCTAAAAGGTTAGCGAAATTGTGCATGCAAAGGAAAAGTTCTTGGAGGAAATTAAAAGCGCTGCTCCAGTGAAAGCACAAATGATAAGAAAGCGAAACAGCCGTATTGCTGATAAGGAGAAAGTTGGAGTGGTCTGGATAGAAGATCAAACCAGCCACAGCGTTCCCTTAAGCCAGTGCCTAATCCAGAGCAACGCCCTAACTCTCTGCAATTCTGTGAAGGCTGAGAGAAGTGAGGAAGCTACAGAAGGAAAGCTAGAAGCTAGCAGAGGTTGGTTCATGCGATTAAAGAAAAGAAGCCATCTTTTATAACAGTGCAAGGTGAAGCAGCGAGTGCTGATGGAGGACAGCAAATTAGCCAGAAATCTAGGATCATTGATGAAGGTGGCTGCGTAAGCAACAGATTATTTGTTTATTTATTTAATTTTGAGACAGAGTGTCACTCTGTCACCCAGGCTGGAATGTAGTGACATAATCTCAGCTCACTGCAAGCTCCGTCTCCCAGGTTCACACCATTCTCCTGCCTCAGCCTCCCAAGTAGCTGCGACTACAGGTGCCCGCCACTATGCCCAGCTATTATTATTATTATTTTTTGGTATCTTTAGTAGAGACAGGGTTTCACCGTGTTAGCCAGGATGGTCTTGATCTCCTGGCCTCGTGATCCGCCTGCCTCGGCCTCCCAAAGTACTGCCAATTCTTAAAATTTTGAGTCTTAAAATTTTGTGTCCTTGTAGCCTCAGCCTGGTGATAAGCCTTCCTTGGACCTCTTGACACAGAAACTAGAGCCTCTCACGTGCTGCACACTCTGGAGGCCTCTTGCCCCCAGGAGGGTCACACACTCAGCAGCAGCTCGCTCTGTAAGTCTCACCGTCCCCACACAGCCTGCACCCCCAAGGCCTTCTGCCCTGCTGGTGCCCCGACTGCCACTGCACGTCCTTCTATTGGAAGGAGATGCCACCTAGGACTTTTTTTTTTTTTTTTAAATTTAGGTTCTAGGGTATACGTGCACAACGTGCAGGTTTGTTACATAGGAATACATGTGCCATGTTGGTTTGCTGCACCCATTAACTCGCCATTTACATTAGGTATTTCTCCTAATGCAATCCCTCCCCCAGCCCCCCACCCCATGACAGGCCCCAGTGTGTGATGTTCCCCGCCCTGTGTCCAAGTGTCCTCAGTGTTCAATTCCCACCTATGAGTGAGAACATGCAGTGTTTGGTTTTCTGTCCTTGTGATAGTTTGCTCAGAATGATGGTTTCCAGCTTCATCCATGTCCCTGCAAAGGACCTGAACTCATCCTTTTTTATGGCTGCATAGTATTCAATGCCACCTGGTACTTTCATGGCTAGAGAGAAGTTAATGCTTGTGTCAAAGCTTCAGAGGACAGGCTGACTCTCTTAGGGGTAAATGTAGCTGGTGACTTTGTTGAAAGGAGTGTTCACTTACCATTCTGAAAATCCTAAGGCCCTTAAAAGAACTGTGCTAAGTCAAGCCAATGTGGTGGCATGTGCCTGGATTTTCAGCTTCACAGGAGGCTAAGGTGGGAGATCACTTCAGACCAAGAGTTTGAGGCAGTAGCATGCTATGATCATGTCTGTGAATAGCCACTGCACTCCAGCCTGGGCAACATAGTGAGATCCTGTCTCTTAAAAAAAAAAAAAAAAACTCTGCCTATGCCCTAGAAGTGGATATTAAAACCATGATAAACCACAGTATGAATGCTCTACAGGGTGCTGTAACTCATGCACTACAGGGTGCTGGACAGCCGCTTTGTAGCACCAAGTTGGCAACTCTTAATAAAGTTAAACCTACCACTTTGGGAGGCCGAAGCAGGAGGATTGCTTGAGCCCAGGAGTTTTGGACCAACCAGGGCAACATAGCAAGACCCCATCTCTACAAAAAAAATTGTTTAAAAGGGCCTGACAAGGTGGCTCACATCTGTAATCCTAGCAATTTTGGGAGGTCGAGGCAGGTGGATTGCCTGAGGTCAGGAGTTCAAGACCAGCCTGGCCAATACAGTGAAATCCTGTCTCTACTAAAAATACAAAAATTAGCTGGGAATGGTGGCAGGTGCCTGTAATCCCAGCTACTCTGGAGGCTGAGGCAGGAGAATCGCTTGAACCCAGGAGGTTGCAATGAGCCAAGACCGCATCACTGCACTCCAGCCTGGGCAACAGAGTGAGACTCTGTCTCAAAAAAAAAAAAAAGAAAAGAAAGAATATACGTCTCTTGTCACTTAGTATTTATGTGCTCCAAGAAACTTGTACATGTATGCAAGGAGACCTGCTAGTTTTATTCTTTGCAGCTTTGTAAATACGCACAAAAAAGGCACCTGCCAAAAGGACCATTATGAAGGTCCACCACCAAGAGAGTTGATAAAGTTTTGTAAATGTGTGTTACACAGTATATTACAGCTGTGGCTATGTCAAATACCATCAAAAACAAATGACAGAGCAAATGTACATGTTATAGTTTGTGTAATTTAAAAATGTAAAACATGGCCAAGCACGGTGGCTCACGCCTGTAATCCCAGCACTTTGGGAGGCTGAGGCGTGCGGATCATCTGAGGTTGGGAGTTTGAGACCAGCCTGACCTACATGGAGAAACCTCATCTCTACTAAACATACAAAATTAGCCAGGTATGGTGGCGCCTGCCTGTAATCCCAGCTACTTGGGAGGCTGAGGCAGGAGAATCGCTTGAACCTGGGAGGCGGAGGTTGTAGTGAGCCAAGATCACACCATTGCACTCCAGCCTGGGCAACAAGAGTGAAACTCCATCTCAAAAAAAAACAAAACAAAATGTAGGACATGTGAAATATATTTGATATATATTTATCCAGCAAAATATAAAAACAGAAATGATACATACCCAAACATGGTGGTGTTTGCTAGGGTAAGAGGAAGGAGTGGGATGAAAGAAGAGAACATAGTACTTCACTTATAACCTGTAATATTTTATTTTCTCAAAAGTTGAGGGGGGCTGTAGGTGGAATATGAGACAAGTGTGGGAATGCAGTAAGATCTGTCAAAACTGGGTCATGAGTATACAGTAGTTGCTTATTGTAATCTGTGATTCTCTGTACAATTGAAATAGTTAATAAAATTTTTCATTGTTTTAAAATATAGTTCTTTGATTACTACCTAGATTGGTGGAGTATTTTATTAGATTTGGGGGCATTAGTATGTATTTATTTACCTTTTAGATTTTCTGTGGTATATTTTGTTCATGTTTTCATAGAGGTTCTTTTTTTTTATTGCTTTAAATTACCTTAATTTATTACAGAAAATTAAGGTATTTCATCTTAATCTATAATTTTGAATCTGTTTGTTTGTTTTTTTGAGACAGAGTCTTGCTCTGTCGCCCAGGCTGGAGTGCAGTGGCGTGATCTCGGCTTCTTGCAACCTCCACCTCCTGGGTTCACGCCATTCTCCTGCCTCAGCCTCCCGAGTAGCTGGGACTACAGGTGCGCACCACCACGCCCGGCTAATTTTTTTGTGTGTTTTTAATAGAGACATGTTGTGGGAAGTCAGGAACCCCAAACGGACGGGATTTCACTGTGTTAGCCAGGATGGTCTCGATCTCCTGACCTCGTGATTCCCCCATCTCGGCCTCCCAAAGTGCTGGGATTACAGGCGTGAGCCACCACGCCCAGCCTGAATTCATTTTTTTGTATGACCTTACTTAGAAACAGCCACTCCAACCTGAGAATAGATAAGTGTTCACATATATATTCTTGGTTTTACTGTTTTAGCTTGTATATTTTAAATCCTAATCCATTTGTAATATATTTTGGAATATAACATGGAATATTTAGAAATATCTTGCCTCATGCCATTTATTAGATAATCTTTTACCCACTGTCTTGAAGTATCTTTATATAGTAAATTCTTAATTATACCAGAATATTGTTTTGTTCTGTTTTGTTGATCTTTCTGAGTATAAGTATCTTTCCATTCATTTTAGGCAATTAATAATACACACAGATAAGCTCATCATATTTAAAGGATACAACAGAACATGGTGGTTCTCTGCCCTGCCCGTCCCCATCTTCTCATTCTCTGCACTCCCCCTACAGATGCAGCTGTTTTGCAATCAGCTGTCTCTGCTGTGGTTTATACATCTCTGTATTTCTCAGTAGTGTGTGGACACTGCTGCCATTGACTGATAAGTTTTAGACGTCTACGACTATTGTAATATAAGGACTTGGCTCTCTAAGTCATTTTAAAATAAAGTTTGTGTTATTTCAATATTTAGAATGTGTGCCTCTGAAAAAGTTACAGCTGAGCATCATAATAGACAGTGCTTGTTGTTAGCTGTTTGCTTTTCCAGGAGTCAGTGATTGCATTTTCCTTTTGGGACAGTTTTCCACAAGGTCAGTCATATTAGATAATGTAAAAGGTCCAGATTTTTTTATTGGCAGCCTCCCTCCTGGAATGTTCCCTTCTCCACCTTGGCGGCGTTGCTCTCAAGGCCTACCAAGAACCTTGTGAATGGGGCTTGTTGCCTTTAACTTATGGATAGTGTGAATGGGATCTTTGTTCCACTCTAGTTTTTAACAGGTTTTGGTTGATATATTGGGAATGTACTGGTAATGAAATATAAGAAAATATGTTTATGTTAATGACCGTTAACGTCTGTGATATATGTTGGTTTCCTTAACTTCTCTCCAAGTCATGTTTATAACTACTGTACTAGTGTTCACCAGTCAAACCAAGCACGAGGAGCTGGAGTTCCTCCTTCTAAGTCGAAAAAGGGGCAGACACCTGGAGGAGCTCAGTTTGTTGGCCTGGAATTGTATAAACGACTTAAGGAATTTTTGAAGAATTACTTGACAAATCTTCTTAAGGTAAGATGTTTCACATATATACTGAGTATTCATAACAGGATATTTAAAAAAGGAGTGAAATAGTGGTTCTAACTTGTTAAATCTTTCACTGTCATCTGTTATGTTTTAGACACTAATGTGGGTGACAGTGTTTTGCTATTGCATAGTCTTTTACCTACTGTGAATATGAAATCATCATAAACTATATTCTGGGGTTTTGTTTTTTCGAGATGGAGATCTCACTATGTTGCCTAGGCTGGATTTTTGATCTCCTGGGCTCCAGTGATCCTTCCACTTCAGCTTCCTGAGTAGCTGAGACTCTGCAAATTCTTACCACTGTGCCCAGCTCATTCTGTTTTTTAAAATTAGAAAGCTTTGATAACCTTTTAGCATAATAGTACCTTCCTTAAGTTACCAACCATTTTGGATTTGGTGGTTAGAAGTGATGAACTTTTTTATTTAAAGCAAATACATATTCATATTACCTGCATTTACTGTAAACCCAACGTGGGGTTCCCTGTCAGGTGTATAAATAATTGTAAGGTTATTCAGTCTTGGATACCATGTTTTTCAAATGTGATCTTGCTCTTTACACATGGTTGTGAAGTTTTTTTTTTTTTTTTTTTTTTTCCCTTTTTTTTTTTTTTTTTTTTTTTTAAGACAGGGTCTTGTTCTGTCACCCAGGCTGGAGTGCAGTAGTCCAATCATAGGTCATTGCAGCCTCCAACTCCTGGGCTCAAACAATCCTCCCACTTTAGCCTTCTGAGTAGCTAGGATTACTGGTATGTACCACCATACCCAGCTCCCAGCTAATTTTTAAATCTTTTGCAGAATCAGGGTCTCTTTATGTTGCCCAGGCTGGTCTCCAACTCCTGGGCTCAAGCAGCCCTCCTGCCTCCGTCTCCCGAAGTGTTGGGATTACAGGTGTGAGCCGCAGTGCCTGGCCATGACGTGTATTTCAAAACTGCTGTGAAGTTGTGCTCGTGACTAGGATGAGTTTCACTGTGAATATCCATTTCCTTCTAGCATAGGTCCCTCTCACTCCAGGCCTTTGGTTGGGCAGTGGTGGAGTCTTTTCCCCTTCATCTCCCACCTTTTTCTTCCTTGGTCTTCATGCTTTGTAGCAAAGGCAGTGTGACTCCTTGTATCTAGCCACAAGATGAGCAAGTGGGTCCTTCATCTGGTTCTACACTGTCACAGAGTGAAGACATCTATACTCTCAACCCAGGGAAATTTGCAGGAACTCTTCTGTGTATATATTTTAAATATTTTTGATTTACACGATGTGCAGGAATTTCTGCATGCTGCAAAATTGTTTTACCTAATTTATTTTTACAAGCTAATTGAAGACTTTAAAACATCATGCTAACAGACTGTATGTAGTTGGCTGGCCACAAGTTGTGACTAGTGTATTATTTTCGTCTTCCTCACATGGTGTTTCTAAGGTCTTGCTGAAGCCACTGTTCTTTTTATTCATAACACATTGTAAAGTGAATGTTCTAATTAATTATTCTTTAGTACTAAAGTAAGAAACAGTATATTGTGCTAAGTAATAATGTTGATGACCATGCCTTCAGTGATATTTTTGCATTTTAAAAAGGTCAGGTACCATCAACCAAAATAGCTTAGCTTTACATTTTAAAGTTCATTTCATGTTACTTAAATTTAAATGAACAAAAAATTATGTGTGTCAAGAGATGATCAGGTTTTTCATGGCTTGTTCGGTCACTCATGTACCTTATACAGGTGGAGCTTCAAGTCTGTCCTAGCCATTTAGTTTTCACTGAAGACACTGAGGCTCAGAGAAGCCAGTGGGCTCGCCCCAGCCCTTCCTGCAGCCCTTCCGCCCCCACCTTCCTCTTTCGTGCTTCTCTGCTCCACGCACCTAAATGGCAGTGCTGCCATACAGTGCCATTAACCTTTTTTTTTTTTTTTTTTTTTGAGACGGAGTCTGTCGCCCAGGCTGGAGTGCAGTGGCCAGATCTCAGCTCACTACAAGCTCCGCCTCCCGGGTTTACGCCATTCTCCTGCCTCAGCCTCCCGAGTAGCTGGGACTACAGGCGCCCGCCACCACGCCCGGCTAGTTTTTTGTATTTTTAGTAGAGACGGGGTTTCACCGCGTTAACCAGGATGGTCTCGATCTCCTGACCTCGTGATCCGCCCATCTCGGCTTCCCAAAGTGCTGGGATTAAAGGCGTGAGCCACGGCACCCGGCCGCCATTAACGTTTTTAAAGGGTAAAGCTTACTTTGTAGATGCCATTAATCCCTAAGAAAAAATTTCAAGTTAGTCTCCTTCAAATAAAAATTCGTGACTCGAGTTGTGGAAATCTGGATAAAAATAATTTTGGTAAATGCACATTTTCTTTATGAGGGCTTGTTAAAGAGGAAGTATTGTTATACTGTCGTACTCACCTTATTTTTACAGATTACCACAAAAAAGTGTTTTGATGGTTTTTGTTTTGTTTTGTTTTGTTTTTTTTGAGACGGAGTCTCGCTCTGTCGCCCAGGCTGGAGTGCAGTGGCCAGATCTCAGCTCACTACAAGCTCCGCCTCCCGGGTTTACGCCATTCTCCTGCCTCAGCCTCCCGAGTAGCTGGGACTACAGGCGCCCGCCACCACGCCCGGCTAGTTTTTTGTATTTTTAGTAGAGACGGGGTTTCACCGCGTTAACCAGGATGGTCTCGATCTCCTGACCTTGTGATCCGCCCGCCTCGGCCTCCCAAAGTGCTGGGATTACAGGCTTGAGCCACCGCGCCCGGCTTGATGGTTTTTAAGAAGGAAGAAGATACATTTAAAAATTGAATAGTATTAGCCTCGTTGTCTGAATTGCTGAGTAGGACATGTTGATTTGATTTCTTTTTTGCGGGGGAGGGGGGGCGGCAGAGTCTTGCTCTGTTGCCCAGGCTAGAGTGCAGTGGTAGGATCTTGGCTCACTGCAGCCTCCGTCTCCTGGGTTCAAGCGAGTCCCCTGCCTCAGCCTCCCAAATAGCTGGGACTACAGGCATGCACCATCACGGCCAGCTAACTTTTGTATTTTTAGTAGAGACAGGGTTTCACCATGTTGGCCAGGCTGGTCTTGAACTCCTGACCTCAAGTGATCTGCCCACCTTGGCCTCCCAAAGTGCTGGGATTACAGATGTGAGCCACTGTACCTGGCCAATTTTTTTTTTAAGCAAAATATTAAAAATACAGATGATTTTTGAGGTAAATTTCTTAATAAAAAGGAATTACCTACATATCAAATGTTCAGGGTACTTTTTTTGAGTGTTTGTGGATATTTAATACCATGAAAAATGTTCCTGTTTAATTTGAGATGAAAGAATTGTTTTTACTATATTCTTGTGAGTTTATTAGCATGTTTTTATATACAGAATAATTTAAAGAAGCCATCTAAAATCACATGTATCAATGTATTTTAATACAGTAGATGTTACTCACTTTTATTTTTAATTTATAATGTGACAAATTAGTCATCTTAAAGCTTTAGTTAACTTGTTTTTAGGATGGAGAAGATTTGATGGATGAGAGTGTACTGAAATTCTATACTCAACAATGGGAAGATTATCGATTTTCAAGCAAAGTACTGAATGGAATTTGTGCCTACCTCAATAGACATTGGGTTCGCCGTGAATGTGACGAAGGACGAAAAGGAATATATGAAATCTATTCAGTAAGAGTTTTGTTTTAAATGTGTTTTTTTAAAATGATAAATTGTCTTTTAGTAAGAGAATCTAGGCAAATATTAAGCTTTTTTCAGAGTAGTAAACTAATTTTCATTGTTTTATCAATAAATGTCCCTTAAATATTTTTTAGCAAGAAAGTAGAGGAATGGGTAAATTGGAGTTCTAAAATACAATTTGTCCATTTCTGCATTTGCCTTTTAAAAATTTCTTCTTTAATTACCTGACCCTACCATCACAATTTGCATGGAACTGCCTGAGTTTTCTCACTGAAAGTCCTGAGTCCTGGCAGTCCCAGGCAAATCAGGTGCCATACCTGAGGGCGAGCCCTGAGGATTAGCCCTCCCATGCTTTATATAGTCTGGGAAACCCTGCTTCAGGGAGAGGACCCTGAATTAATTACTAAATCACTCTCATTAATATATGTTGCTTCAGTCAGCAAAAGGGGTTTTTTTGTTCATTGGCTTTCAAAGTATGGTCTTATATTTGTCTGTTTTCATAACTTCTGATAAAAAACTGCCTGAGACTGAGTAATTTATAAAGAAAAGTTTAATGGGCTCAACAGTTCCACGTGGCTGGGAAGGCCTCATAATCATGGCAGAAGGCACATCTTACATGGTGGCAGGCAAGACAGAATGACAGCCAAGCAAAAGCAGAAACCCTTATAAAACCATCAGATCTCGTGAGACTTATTCACTACCATGAGAACAGTGTGGGGGAACCACCCCCATGATTCAGTTCTCTCCCACTGAGTGCCTCCCGCAACATGTGGGAATTATGGGAGCTATAGTTCAAGGTGAGATTTGGGTGGGGGCATAGCCAAACCGTATCAGGTCCCCAAACCTGCTCTGTCAGCATCACCTGGGGACTTGTTAGAAATGCACATTCTTAGGCCTCATCCTAGACTTAAGGAGAAACTCTGGAGATGGGGCCCAGCAATGTTTTACCAAGCTCTCCAGACAATTCTGATGCATGCTCCAGTTTGAGGACCAGTGTTCTAGAGCAATTAAGGGAGGACTCAGAAGCTCTCCAGACAATTCTGATGCATGCTCCAGTTTGAGGACCAGTGTTCTAGAGCAATTAAGGGAGGACTCAGAATAGTCTGTTCGTGATCAACACAGGCAATGCCCTTTAAAACTAGTTTTGTTAAAATGTCAGATTCTACATAAAGAAGTTAATCACCATATCCAAGAATGTTGCTATAATAGCAATACTTTGTAGCTTCACTTTTGACAAATTTAAAAGAAAAACATAATGCTGGTTGCAGTGGCTCATGCTTGTAATCCTAGCACGTTGGGAGACTGAGACAGGAGACCAGCCTGGGCAGCATAATGAGACCTACAAAAAAATGTATCCAGGCATGGTGAGGCACCTATAGTCCCAGCCACACATGAGGCTGAGGTAGGAGGATCGCTTGAGCCCAGGAGGTGGAGGGTGCAGTTAGCCATGATCGTACCACTGGACAGAGTGAGATCCTGTCTAAAGAAAAAAAAGAAAAGAAAGAAAAGCATAATGTATCCCGGATGCATGACTTGTTTTTATTGTTTGTGTAGCTCCAGTTTCTATACCAAAATTGTTAATTGCTTCGTAATGATACTTTGCTATGTAGTTAATCTGGTTCTAACAAAACTTTCTAGGTTTAGTTGTTTGATTTGGGGTTTTTGTGCTTCCCCTTTAACATTTTGTTTATTTTTTTAACTGACAAAAATGTGTGCACCATGCCTTTTTGAAATATGTGTGTATTGTGGAATAGCTAATGGGATTTTTTTTCTTTTTCACATATAAATGCTTTCTTGAGACTCAAAAGTTGTTAGTATAGGAATCAGGATGATCTTGGTTCATTTCCTTTTGGAAACCTGCTTGACCTAAATGTGTACCCTACAGTAACATCACAGACTCCTAAAAATCATTACGGTTTTTAAACTTTTCCTATACTGTTTTCAACAACAGTTAAAGAAAAGATAAATAAAGAAGTTGAGCTGACAGATGTCTGTGCTTGGATACCTCTTGAAGTTGTTGACTCTAGAGAGTGGCTTTCTGATTTCGTCATGATAGCAGATTTTGACCAACTTGTAATCTAGAAATTTTGATGAAGTAATTTGAGATTTAGATTTTTCCTGTGACTTCAATCTTGGAAAAACATAGTAAAAGTATAGATATTTTGTACTTTTTTTTCTCCAGCTTGCATTGGTGACTTGGAGAGACTGTCTGTTCAGGCCACTGAATAAACAGGTACCTACTGGTGTAAGCGTGTGCGTGTGCGTGTTCCTTTTAAAATCCCTTCACAGTTTCGTTGCTTAGCCTTTGTCTGCTCACTCCTTTGGATTATCCCATCTTACATTGTTTAATGGCTGTGAATGTTTAAGGGATATGTAGTGATATATATCATATTCTATAACCTGTGTAATATTTTTCTACATCCTTTCTAAAGGTAACAAATGCTGTTTTAAAGCTGATTGAAAAGGAAAGGAATGGTGAAACCATCAATACAAGATTGATTAGTGGAGTTGTACAGTCTTACGGTAAATAATTTCCCTTTAGTTTATTCAAAGTTTCCACATCAAATGGCAATTATGACAATGCTCTAACAGATTTCACTTTAAAATATTTTCATATTATAAAGGACATTGTTAGCATTTACGAAGGTACTTCTCTTTCTTTTTAAGTCAGTGTGACTTTGTTTTTATCCATCATAAAAGCTGTTTGATCCGTGTGCCTTAAGGAAATTTTGATGAAATAGACATTTTAATTATTTTCTTTTCTGGTCTCGTAGTGGATTACTGGACATGTTAGAGTGTGAGCTCAATGATAACCAGAAATCTATATCAGCTTGAAAAATTGAGATTGAGAAACTGATAAAGTAATACAATGTCTTAAAAACTTGGGTAGCATTGTATTTCTTTGCAAATTTAAAATTAGTTATTTTTATTGCTTTTGGAAATATAAAAGTTCTCTAAAGGAACTTCATCATAATTTTGAAGCATACCTGGCCATGGGTCAGAATTACTTGCTTTTTATACATCTTGGATTTTTTTCCTTTTTTATTTTATTGAAAGAGTGTACTTTAATACTAGTGAGTAAGAGTTACTTATGTCCTGCCATTTCACATTTACCTTTTAAACATAACTTAAACTGAATGCTACACCTAAGTATATTCTGTGAAATATAACCAAAAAAATAGGGTAATTGAAATATAGCTCATATTCATTTCTAGTGGAATTGGGGCTGAATGAAGATGATGCATTTGCAAAGGGCCCTACGTTAACAGTGTATAAAGAATCCTTTGAATCTCAATTTTTGGCTGACACAGAGAGATTTTATACCAGAGAGAGTACTGAATTCTTGCAGCAGAACCCAGTTACTGAATATATGAAAAAGGTAAGCTTCAATATAGTACTTTAAGTAGACTTAAGTTAAAGTCATTGCTACTCAAGTGAGTTCTTTTTAGCATATACAGCTTTCTTTACAAGTCATTTGTTGGGCATTGTTTTTCTATAGTGTCTTCATCAGGTGCAAGTGCTTCTCCTAATTCTCCAAGGAGCTTCTGTAAATTAATTTGGTAATCATGACTAAGAGTTCTCCTTGCTGTTCTAAGGATATAACCATAGTAGCTACATGACTTTTTTAACTGTTTATCCTAGAATGTGGATTTGTATATAATGGGCATAACAGTCACGTCAATGAGAAAATTTTAAGAAACAAATATTCTTAGATTTGCAAACTTGAAGCTTCTCCTTTTTTGCTTCTAAAATACCCCTAAGAATCTGTTACATAGCTTTCAGGATTATATTAGATGAAAGGTTCTTCTGAAACTAGGATTTAAATTCTAATATGAGAGGATGGCTATCCTCCCACTTCAACCTCCAGAAGTAATGGGATTAGAGGCGTGAGCCACCACACTCAGCTAATTGTTTTATTTTTGTAGAGATAGGTTGCCCAGGTTGGTCTCAAACTCTTGGGCTCAAGTGATCCTGCCACCTGGGCCTCCCAAATTACTGGGATTACAGATGTGAGTAACCATGGCCCACTGATAATAAAGATCTAGTAGAATTACTACTCTTTGTTCTCTTTCTTAGAAATATGGATATCCTGGCCGGGCGCAGTGGCTCACGCCTGTAATCCCAGCACTTTGGGAGGCCGAGGCAGGTGGATCACCTGAGGTCAGGAGTTTGAGACCAGCCTGACCAAGGTGGTGAAACCCCGTTTCTACTAAAAATACAAAGAAATTTAGCCGGGCGTGGTGGCGCATGCCTGTAGTCCCAGCTATTCAGGAGGCTGAGGCAGGTGAATCACTTGAACCTGGGAGGCAGAGGTTGTAGTGCCACTGCCTTCCAGCCTGGATGACAGAGTGAGACTCCATCTCAAAAAAAAAAAAAAAGAAATACAGACATCCTGGATTTAGACTCTAAGGAATGACATAGGTCTGGAGTCAGCAAACTTATCTTGTAAAGGGCTACATAGGAAATACTTTCGGCTTTGTGAGCTATGTGATCTCTTTTGCAGCTGTTCAACTCTGCCATTGCAGCACAAAGCAGCCAGTGGGATATGTACACCAATGAGTGTGGCCGGGTTCCAATAAAGCTTTATTTACAGAAAAAGGCAGGCAGGCCGAATTTGGCCTATGGGCTACGGTTTGCTGACCCTTGACCTAGCTGTACTAGGACAGTGGTCCCCAACCCTTTTTGCATCACGGACGGCGGTGGGGGGAAGAAGGGGGATGGTTTGGGGATGAAACTGTTCCACCTCAGATCAAAGGAGCACACAACGTAGATCCCTCACATGCGTAGTTCACAACAGGGTTCGAGCTCCTATGAGAATCTAATGCTGCCCCTGATCTGACAGGAGGCAGAGCTCAGGTGGTAATACTCACTCATCTGCTGGTCACCTCCTGTTGTGCGGCCCAGTTCTTAACAGGCCACAGAGCCATACTGGCCCCCAGCCCAGCATTTGAGGACCCTTATACTAGGAGATCTCCAGGAGTCTGGATCTTTGCAAGCCTGACACCTGCTTGCCCTTTATTCCCTGTTCACTTGGAGCATGAATGGACTGCGGAATCTCTTTTCCATAAACTGAGATAGAAAGGCAATTAAAAGCAACAGCTCTGCTCTAAGCTCATAGAAAAAGTTCTGTCTGGTTTGTTTGTGGTGACCTGAATGTGTTTTCCTATAGGAGATAGTGGTTATAAATGGGCTTAGAAGTTTGAAGTTGAAAGTCCTTGACAAATTTCTGCTATCTCAAAGTTTAACAAAAACGGAACTATTCAGAGTATTATACTGGGAATATTAATAGTTCCTTGTGTATAATGGTGGGCTAAATTGACTTTTGTATGCTGATCTGGAACCTAACCAGCTCACCCAGAGTTTCAAACAACTGCCTAACAAATGAACTTTTGAAACATAATCTGTTTTGAATGTTAGCATTGCCTGTAATTTCATTGTTTAATATGACAGCGTTGTATTCCTAAACACTTCTCTTATTAAACTCTGCTGTATGTGGTGATTCTTTTAAAACTTTATGTCCCTAAAGACCTCTTATCCAGATGCACATCCGTGACAGTGGTGCGAGCCTGTTCTTTTTATGGGTTTATTAGAGGATTGTGGTCATCTCCTTTGTCCACACTGATGAAGTAGTAGTGCTCTAGGGCAAGGAAACCAGTGTTTTAGGCTAGAACTATGGAAGCACTCCCAGAGCAGGTAAATCTGTTTTGAAAACCAGGCCTGACACCAAAGACAGTTGAGGAGCAAGGATTTCCAATGGCTTGGATGCGTCCAATCCAGCATGAGCCCTGCCTTCAAGGAAGCAGTGTGCTTCCTACATCCTGGTTCCCATACAGGGGATTCATTTCTAGAGGAGTTAAAGGTTTGGCCCAAATCCACCTGGATCACACCAAACACGACTTCCATCACATTCTGAAAGTTGATAATGCAGAGAGTCTATAAGCATAAGATTGGAATTTGACCATGTAATTCTGCTCTCATCCTATAGCCTTGCATCTCAAACTGTGCTATGAGTCTAGTTTTAAATCCCCACCCTACCATTTATTAGGGGGATGACCTTAATGCTTCTGTTCCTCAATTTCCTTATCTGTAAAATGTGAATAATAATAATAGGTAATAATGCGGATTAAGTGAGCTTTAGTATTTACAAATTTTAACATGAGGTATTTATTTGTTAAAAGGTGCTTAGAATGGTGTGTGGCAAAGAGCAAGGCTAGTGTATTTGGTATTACAAATATATATCCCACAAAACCTCCAGTGTATGCCTGGGAGGATGCAAAACCACAGGATAAAGGGTGGCAAATCTTACTTAATAACTTAGGGAGCAATTATGTTTACATTACAGCAAGCATTCTATCAGGAAATAGAACAACATTGAGATAAAAACGTGACCCTTCAAGAAATACTCTGCAAATTCTAGCCAGTTGAGAGCAGTTCAGATTCCCTGGGTTTGTGTTCACTTTTCTCTATTAGGAGTGTTTTAGAGGAAACATCTGGACTATTTGGCTTGTCTTTCCAAGGATGGCTTTGAAGAGTGAACCATGTTAGTGTTTCTGAAAGATTTGACTGTCTCATACAGTTGAGACTGATCTGAGCTACAGAATCTCTGTATGACTAAGATTTCTAATGTCAATTTTTAAAAACTTAAAAAAAATACCATACTTCATTAATGTGCTTATCTTTTTTGGGTTTTATTTTCCTTTTGTTTTTACTGAGAACAAATCCTCGTTGAATTAATAAAGACCATCTTTAATTACATATTTTATTTAGTCATTTGAATTTGACCTTGGTGTTCTAATACAACAGTCTGCCAAGTGCAGTGATGAGCAGGAGCCCCTTTGACTTGGAATCAATAGAGCACCTAAATGACTGTCCTTTCTGAAAGCTGATGACAATACCTACAGCCTTGGTTTCCTTGCCAATATATAAAATAAGCTAGTGTTGAGGCCCCTCAGCCATGAATGTTTCTGTAATCACCTAGGTACCTGTTCACTCTTCCTGCCCCTCAGCCCCTGCAGGAAGGGTCTGTAGACTAAGAGGTGGAGAGCTTTGCCTCTCAGAGGATGAATCAGCAATGGCATCAAAGCCTAATCTTTCATCTGGGAAGGGGTAAAAGTATGTTTTGCTGCCTGAGATGATGATGTTCTCCCGAGAAAGAGTTTTAACTTAAAACAGAAAAAGTGGTGCTGTTTGGTTTGCATGTTCTATATTCCACCAGCTTTAGGTTCTTGAGTTATCAGTGTTAGTGGAACATTAGATATGAAGCAGCATTTATTGTTTTAAAATAGCTTTATAATCAGAAAAACAAAATTACACAGTAACTGTAGACTTTTTGGAAAATATAAATAACATAAACCTACAAGCCTGGGGCACTGTTGCTAATTATATAAACCACATTGGAATCATGGTATAGGTTTTTTGTATCTTGTTCACTAATGATTTGTTATTAGGAGTTGGTGTTTGTTTTAGTGGGTAATGATATTTCATTAACTGAACATACAATAACTCTTACTGGAAATGCAATAACTTCAAGCTTTTTTCTATTTCTTCACTTATGAGTTGTCTTCCTCATGTTTGTATTTGGAGGTACTCACTGCTTTGCTGGAGATCATTATATATTAAGAATATTGACCTTTTGATACATACTACAGATATTTTCCAAGTTTATTTTTCACATTTAGCTATTTAGAATGTGTAATAAGGTTCTGACTTAGGTGGTTTAAACAATTGTCCCATTATTATTAGTTCTTGATAGTACAAGTCCCACCCAATCATTTTTTCATTTTATGTTTTCTTGGCTCTTGAGTATTGATTCATTACCAGTTGAATTTTTCCAGATTTCTCCAAAATTATACTGAATTTGAAAATCTGGGCAAGGCACAGTAGCTGAACAGCCTATAATCCCAGAACTTTGGGAAGCCAAGGCAGGAGAATCGCTTGAAGCCAGGAGTTTGAGACCAACCTGAGCAACATAGTGAGACCTTGTCTCTAGAAAAAATTAAAAAGTTAGCCGGGTGTGGCGGCATGCACCTGTAGTTCCAGCTACAGAGGAGGCTGAGGCAGGAGGATCACTTGAGCCCAGGAGTTTGAAGCTGCAGTGAGCTGTGATTGTGCCACTACACTCCAGCCTGGGAGACAGGGCCAAGATCCTGTCTCTGAAAATAATATATTTTTTTTAAAAAATCATTTTGGGGAGTATTGGCATTTTTATAATTCAAAATATAATTCTCTTTATTCAGATCACCTGAATAATTTATTGAAATTTCTTCCTTGCTTTGATAATTTAGTAGTTTCTCTTTAAATTTTTGAAAAGTCTGATTTCTGATGATGATTTCCATGTAATCACTTCAGGGCTTATATTTGTGTGACTCTTGGCTTCAAGTAGTTTTTAATCTAAAGTAGCACATCTTAGTATCTGCACAGAAGATGCATTCATTTCTTAGAGTGGCAGAGACATTACCTCAAAAAGATGAAATACCACTGTCTGAGGGTTCAAATGGATGTAAAGACATTTGAACTGTTAATAATGATGATGTTGTTAGGGCACTTAAAAAGGAAATTTGAAATGGAAATACATATTGCAGAGAAAATGGCAGACATCAGTGGCTGTTTAAATATGGTTGTTTACTGTAAAATCAAAGAACTTTTTCCTTTTTCTTTCTTTCTGTTTTTTGAGAGACAGAGTCTTGCTCTGTTGCCCAGGCTGAAATGCAGCAGCACAATCATAGCTCACTATATCCTTTAACTCCTAGGCTCAAGCCATCCTCCTGCCTCAGCCTCCTGAGTAGCTAGGAAGGACTACAGGTGCATGCCACACCTAGCTAATTTTTTTTTTTTTAGAGACAGGGTCGCACTGTGTTGCCCAGGCTGATCTCAAAATCCTGGCCTCAAGCAATCCTCCTGCCTCAGCTACCCAAAATGCTGGGATTTCAGGTGTGAGCCATCATGCCCAGCCCTCCCTTATTTTCTTAATCGTAGTTTATTAGAGCTGGCATGTGAATTTAATTTGCCATTATTCAATTTCCTTTAATTTACATATTAAAGAATTGTAACAGTTCTTTACCAATGAATCAAAACCATTCACTTGAATTAATTTTCTGCAGGCAGAGGCTCGTCTGCTTGAGGAACAACGAAGAGTTCAGGTTTACCTTCATGAAAGCACACAAGATGAATTAGCAAGGAAATGTGAACAAGTCCTCATCGAAAAACACTTGGAAATTTTCCACACAGAATTTCAGAATTTATTGGATGCTGACAAAAATGAAGGTGAGCCACAAGACTCATAAAACGTAGGTATTTATTATTATCTGCTGTTTTGATATTGCTTGAGATTCTAGACTCTCAAGTCAATGGTGTTACTTGCCCATGTCAGTCATTTTTAAAAAGATGCATGTGTTTGTACGTCATTATGTATCGATTTCAGACTTCTGCAGAGCATTTTGGTTTGACTTGAGGGAAGAGTGTATTTAGAGTATGACTTGCTGCATACACTTTAGCATTAAATGATGCTACCCTAAGTTTTTTCTTGACTGTTCTTCCTTTGAAAGTTCTCTAAAATGAGGAGACCGTCATCTTATATTTCCCTTAACCACTCCCATGTTTTACCTGGGGCATGTTAGGAGCTCAATAAAAGGTTGAAGTTTGGGTTTTTCTTCTGTGGTCCTCACAAAGTAACCATATGCTATATACATGTCTTAAATGAAGAATTTGGGAGACCTTTTCTTAACTCATTTGTTTTTATAGTTGAGATAGAAATCCATATTCTCCTTAAATACATTCATTATTTTTAAACAAATATTTGAGTGCCTGTTATGTGTCAGGCATAAATACTATTTCAATCTTGAGAATTTTAGGAAGCATTAGAGTTGTTTCTGATATATATATATATTTTTTGCTTATTCTTATGTTAGTGGTTTCTCATAGTAAGGAGGAAAATAAACTTACAATAGAATAATTTCATTGTTACTTTTAGCAAAATATACATATACCAAATAGAGAATATTTGGTTATAATTAAATGCTATTGGTTATTAAAGTCTAAAAATATGGTTATTGCAGAGTATTTTTCATCTCAGTATAAATACATAATTAGTAGAATGGATATGCAAAGTTTGTTTCAGTGCATAAAAGGGGTTTCTTCCTCTTTCAGATTTGGGACGCATGTATAATCTTGTATCTAGAATCCAGGATGGCCTAGGAGAATTGAAAAAACTGTTGGAGACACACATTCATAATCAGGGTCTTGCAGCCATTGAAAAGTGTGGAGAAGCCGCTTTAAATGTAAGTAAGATTTCACTGAAAATCAGTCACGCTGATTATTTCCACATGTGAACTGCAAGCATGTGTTATGCATCTCTACTTCCAAATCTAAGTGGTAACATTTTCATTAGAACTCTGAGAACCTTGCTTTGGCTTTATTTTTTTTCTTTGAAGCGGAGTCTTGCTCTGTCGCCCAGGCTGGAGTGCAGTGGTGCCGTCTCGGCTCACTGCAAGCTTGGCCTCCTGGGTTCATGCCATTCTCCTGCCTCAGCCTCCCCAGTAGCTGGGACTATAGTCGCCCGCCACCATGCCTGGATAATTTTTGTTTTTTTAGTAGAGACGGGGTTTCACCATGTTGGCCAGGCTGGTCTCGAACTGCAGACCTCAGGTGATTTGCCCGCCTTGGCCTCCCAAAGTGCTGGGATTACAGGCTTGAATCATTACACCTGGCCGAGAAGAAGAGCTTCTAAAACACATTGGTTCTTACATCTGAATGCAGAAAGCTTCTCTTGTTTTGACTTTATTGTGCATAATGATTAATTATTTTTGATAGCATTATCAAATATAGTGTTTTTTTAATCCTTCCTTTTCTGTTCTCTTTGGAAGGCTTCTTTTCCATGTTTAATATTGGCACTCTACTGGCACTCAGTCGCCTCTAGGAATTATTAAAGGGTTGAGTATAAAGCTTTCCTTTAGGTTTTTAAAAACAATTTTATGCTGACAATATGGGAGGGAACTGGCTTAGCCGTGGATTTTGTGAAAAAGATCTCTAGGTTTTAGTAAAAACTTCAGTATGGAGTCCTCAGTGTCAGCACATACAGTGTCTTTACCGTGTGGGGATTCCAGAGCCTGGCCAGGCTGCCTGCACTCAGATCTCAGCTCCACCATCGACGGCTGTCTGACCCTTGGCGAGTTACTTCTGTCCCTGTCATTTCATTTTATTTTTATTTTTTTTAAATAGAGTGATAATGCCCCTCTCATAGGATATTTGTGAGTAAATAAAACATGTAAAGTGCTTAAATCAGGGCACTAATTGCTCAGCAGTGATGACTGCTACATGTTCTTATGAGTACACGCAATTTTTTTAATTTAAAAAACCCATTTAAAAATTACCCTTCAGTTTTTATGACTTTATTTCCAAGCTAAATGTTCCTTTAAAGGGCCTGATTCACACACACACACACACCCCCCTCACCCCCTGTGATTCAAAAGGGGCCAATTTGGTGAAGACATTTTTTCAGTAATAGAAGATGCCTTCCCAGTTGTTGATTCAGAACTCAATTTACCTATATGGGCAGCAGAGCCAAGTAAATTACTTGACTTTCCTTGAAATGAATTAAGTGGGAAGTCTGTTATTTCATCAGATAGATTAACGAAGCAGTTTTTGTTTTTTTCATGTAAATTGCTATATACTAGGTATGAGATTGGCCTTAGGGAACTCGTGTTCTATGTAAATATAGTTAGATTTAAAATAAACATGATAGCTGGGTGTAGTGGTGTGTACCTATAGTCCCAGCTACTCAGAAGCCTGAGGCAGGAGGGTCACTTGAGCCCAGGGGTTCGGGACCAGCCAGGGCAATGTAGTGAGACCCTGTCTCCTTTAAAAGGAAGAAAGGAAAAAAAAAAAAAAGGCATTATAAATTACGTTTTCAGTTTTATAGGAAAGATGGGATATTAATTCTAATGTTCATCTTTTCCAAACCAAAGTAAGGTTCTCAATTGGAGAAATAATCAACTATGATTCTTATGTCCCATTGTTTTCTTTCTTGGATACAATCAGCTGCCTGATATTCTGGGCACTGAATAAATGCTGTCCGATTGACTTTGTCAGTGGGAGTCTTGAATCTGACATTTACCTAACTCGACCAGTTAAAGCAAAAGTATATACCTTCTATGTAAAATCATTTCTCTATTTGAGGAAGCTTCATCTGTCAGCAATGACAACACAAATAAACTGTCTTTACCAGCAGTTACATTTTATGAGAAATCAAGCTTTTAAACAATGCTTGTACTACTTAAATCTAAGCCACTTATTAACCTGAATTTAAGAACCAAAACAAGATTTTCCCCCATGAAGAAGAGTTATAGCTCAGTAAACCCATGTTGCATCCACCTTCACTCGCAAAAGTCATATATTAGTTTTTTTAGTAAGTTACTGATTCTATTTATTGTTTACATAAGAACTGTTTCTACACTGAACTCATGAAACTCTGGGTTTTTTAATCGTTGTGCTTATGAAGTAAAATGTTCAGGAAAGTAAATACTTTTCCAATTTTCTGCAAAAGGAATGTTTCCTGAAATCCACTTTTATTCTTATTTGTAAACTTGCCATTGGCTCCTCCTGTTGGAATGTTGTCTGACTGGTGTGTGGGTTCCTCGTGCCCCTCCCTGCTCTGAGCTCACGCTTGCTACCTCCATTCGCCATCTCTGGGAAAGCCCACAGAATTGAAGCTCAGAGGGAGCGTGGGTGCCTAGGCCATAGCCTGGCACACAGTAGGTGCTTGATTACTTATTGTAAGAAAGAAACACAGCTGCTAAAAAACAAATACTTTTAAATAGGTTTTAGTTTTTATCATTTATGCGGTAAATGTAGAAGACAGATTATAACCCAAACCATAATTATTTTCAAAAACCCACTGATTATGAAAAATCAGGAGAAAAAAAGGTTAGTAAAAGTTAGAATTATTGTACATGATTTTAAGTGGGATTTAATTACCTTGAGAACACAATTTTTAAAGTTTAAAAATTTTTGCCTAATTAAGTTGAATCATAGTGTACGAGAATCATTTGTAATTAGCATATTAAATGCCATAGAAGGCACTACGTAAGTGATTTTTTTAAGTGCAAAAAATTGTAATATCAGTCCTGTGTCTTTCTCTGGACTAGAACACTATATATGTTACACTGAAGCTGTTATTGATGAAATAAACTCCTTTGAGAGGCCAAAAACAGTTTCTTATCTGGCTAGTCCTTTTATACCACTAATTTGGTTAGAAAACCGGTTTTACTGCTAATATCTGGCCTAGACTGAAATTCTTAGAGGTTTCCAGTTTATCATGTAAATCAAATATTTTTTGTGTTCGATGTTTTAGAACCTACTTAGGAATTTTTCTTAAGGCATTTTGTTTTTTTCCTAGTTAAAACCAATTTAAAAATCAAAGGCTATTTCTGGAAAACTGGCTCAAAGGGAATTTCCCTCATGGCATCTCCCTCTCGCCACCTAAAAGCTGGCAGCCCTCAGTGAAGTGAAACTGAAGGGAGAGCCCTCCCAACCTGGGCGTCGGCGGGCGGGGACTGTCCATCAGGATTCCGCTCTGTTTGGAAGTGTTCTCTCCAGTCTTCAGAGAGCCTCATGATCAAGGGCATTTGTGCTCAACTGATACGTGAGGCAATCAGCCTATTGCTCTGGGGCGCCAGGAGGACTTTGGGAACTTTGCACACAAATATTCAGGGATGGGATTTAAAACTGGTTTCAAGCTGAGCAAGGAATAGGAGAAATGGCTTGTTTAATAGGCAGGTGACCCCATGCGTGATTGCTGGCCCAGGAACAGGTTGGGAATGTATCGAAAAATAATCTATATTAAAATATAGAAAGCAATGGCCCCCATCCACTTAGTGAGGCTTGAAGGGGAGCATCTTGAAAGCAGAGACCATTCCTTCCTGTGGTCATTTTACAAATAATTGAATGCCCACTGTGTGTGCCTGGCCCTGTGCTAGGCTCTTAATTTTTCTTAGTTGACCAAAGCAACTACAGTCTCCTACTTAGAATGGCTCACCTTAATGAGTTTTTTTACTTTAAAATGGCATAAAAGCAATAGGCATTTATGATACTCTCAATAAACTCATCATACATTGAAAATATTGTCACACACTGAGGTCCGGACGCAGTGGCTCACACCTGTAATCCCAGAATTTTGGGAGGCCAAGGCGGGCAGATCACCTGTTGGTCCAAGAGTTTCGAGAACCAGCTCTGCCAACATGTGCTGAAACCCGTCCAAAAGTACATAAAATTAGCTGGGCGTGGGTGGCGGGCATCGTAATCCCAGCCTACCCAGAGGCTGAGGCAGGAGAATCATTTGATACCCTGGGAAGAGAGGTTGCCAGGAGCCAAGATTACACTGCTGTACAACTCCAGCCTGGGCGACAGAGTGAGACTCTGTCTCAAAAAAAAAAATAAATACCAACCATTCAGTATATATGGGTTTAGTTGAAACATAATCCCAAAATTGAGGAGTATTTTGTTAGCTTGCATGATGTTAGTTCGGTGTTTCAACTCCAAAAGGCGCAACAATTTTGCCAGATCAAAACCGAAATCGTCGTTTCATTTAATTCAGCAATGCATTTGAGGGCAATTCCGTAAGTAGACGTGATGTCAAGAATCTGAATTAGAATTCCTTGCTCTTTGTCCTTGTCCACATCTCCATGACCTCAAGTCTGCCCTAGTTTTTCGTCACTACATTGCATGTCCCTTTGAACTCACCTCTTCATCCATTCATTAGCCACAGAGGTGGCAGCTGTGTAGCATGCATGAGTCCACTCCTGCCCTCATGCTTTTGTTCATCGTAAGCATTAGTAATCTAATAGGGTATAATTTCCCACAGGGTCTGGATGTGGCCTCAGAATCCTTCTCAAAGCAGTAAGCAGCCGGCCTGTCTCGATAGCGAGCTGTCTCCTCCTCTGTCTTCTGGATGAGTCAGTGGAGCATGGGAATTCCTCCTCCCTTGGCTCTTACTGTTTTCTGTGCATTTTCTCTGCAGTCCCAAGGCTACCATCTTAACCTGGGCTTCGTCTATCACTTCACTTCCCAAATGACCCCACACCTCTCTCATTCCCATTCATCCCTCATGATAATTAGCAGTTTCATCTTTCAGAAATACCACTTAATACATTAATAATTTTACTCTGCATTCTTTTCATCCTTTGTTTTAAACAAAGCAGAATAAAGCTCTTCCTTGTGATAATATAAATCATAATATTACACTAAATCAAAATCCTCTAATGAGCCCACATTTTCATGAACC